AAACCCATTTAAATTATATGCAAATATTGACAATTGAAATATATTTAATATTAAGCGGTATGATATGTATGCACAGCAACAAGGTCCATTTTATTTAATCATGTAAAAATAATGAGAATAAGTATGCACAGAAATAATAATTGTATCATTCAATATGTGCATATAATTTTTATATATTTGGTCCTTGAAAGTATCATAGAACAGAGCTGAGAAAATTGCACACTTAGGCTACTATTGTTAAGTAGTTCCAAGGCACATATTTTATCGAAAGCTTAGCTATTCGCGGGTTTTTAACATATTTTGAAATACTGATTTCAAATTATGACAAAATTGCACTTTCTACACATACAAATTATAGATAAAACTGTAATAAAAACATTAAGCACATTTACTTAATACATCAAAAGGTTCGCATAATAAAAAAACAAGATATAAGTTTTCCAATACCATTTATGTAGAATTATAGTATATTGGATGATGTTCATAGCACAGATTAAATTTATATCAAAGTTGAATTTGAAATTTTAAACACTGTGGTTGAATACATGTAATAAATAAGTAAATGTGCATTATTTTGCTGTTAAATACAGCACCCTGGTTTTAAGAACTGACATATTTTATTGATACAAAATGAAAATAGAAATATAAATATGAATTAAAATCTAACAATCCTTAATCTCACGACATTTTATGCACCATAGAACTTTTAATTGCGGGTATAAGGTATAGTAAAGTACAGAAGGCGTCACAAGCGTAAAAGTGGGAAGAGCGAAATTGTGTACAGCTAGTTAGTTGTACTCTTGAATTTTCATTGAATGAGAGATTATTACACAATACATGAAACTAGTCACAAATTCTATTTGAAGATTAAGTTTGAAGCTTTCTACTCGAAATATATGTAAAAATTAGCACCCATATAATGCTAGCAATAAACTAGTGTAGGTGCTAAACTTTCTACTGTCCTTAAAAACAATTTGAAAACTGGGATTATTCTTTAAATTTAAAATATGTACATACATGTAGTAAGATGTTCTCTGATATTTCAATACTGAATATCAGTATTCTGGTTATTGATGGTGAAATCATGTCAGATCTTTAAATCATTCCAAACTACATTAATTAACTCAAAAACATTTATTATTTACCATAAAGCTTAATCCAGTTTTCAGTGAATATCAGGGATCTCATTTAATGTATATAAAATATGTATTTTAAGGCACTAGGTGATTCGTTTTTACAAAACAGTGTATATTTACTTGAAATATGCACAGCCTTTTCTAAAAATTTCGATAAAAACTAACAAATATGTAGTTTTTTTTAATTAAATTTAGTGAAGTAATTTGTATTGTAAAAACCAATCACCTTTAGCTTTTTAACTGTATAAATCGTAATGTAATTTTCCTATATAAAACCATCGGGTTGGTGCATAAGGCTCGCACATAATGTTATATTTTATGATAAATCAAATGGTCTATAAGTTCAATGCGCAGGCGCATTTGATGTCTATACTTTTCATTTGCAAGAGATAATACATTCATTGACTAATTCACTAACTCTTAAAATTTTATAAGAACATCCAACAATTAATATGCTGTTTAAAATTATCTATTAAAATATCAATCTCTTTTACATTACAACAACAAATTGAGACAAACATATTGCTGTGGGATTAAAAGAGCAACTACGCTTTATAATGAACATGGATAGAATGGGCTAACAGCCTAGTAAATTCTTTATTGATTTACATATGAATTAGAGATTTATAATACGATAGTTTAAGCTATTCATCCAACATGTTATAAATAGACAAGCAGGTAAGTCACTTAGTTTGCTAAATCGACAATATATAATTGAACGGATGCTAAATAACATCAAAAAAGTAAAATAAATGAATTGTGCTGGATAAAAACGATTGTGCAATTTACTATTTTAATGCGGAAAAAAAAATCGCAACGTCACATACTTCAAATTCATGTTGTAAGTAGTCATTAAAATACATGTTTATTGTCAAAATTTAATTTGTTTTAATTTAACGATGGCCGCCCAAACTTACAAGCGCTTAATTTTGATCAGTAATTTTGCCGCTTAATAAAAAAGTCAGAAACTTTCTTATGATTATCATAAATTTTTATTAATTCATAAGAATTTCTTCGTCGCTCACATACAAATAACTCTAGCCGTTAAGGCGCCTACACTAGTTATTTATATATCTGGGGCCTGGTGCATTCTTGGCTACTGCAGTTTTGTCACCAGCTTTGGTTAACAATTCACCTGAGAACAGTTTTTTAGGTTGCCACCGAGCTTAATTTGTCATGCGCGAATGAGACTTTAGGGAATCTATTCATAACGTAATTATGACAAATAAATATAATAGATTTTCGTCGTTCAATGTATTTTAACTTATAAGATAACACGTATTACACATATTTAATCCTTTTCTACTACAGCCAAACCTATGTTTTTTTGAACATATCGGTGTATACGTAAACTATGAACACCAATAAATACCAAATAAGTGATCCCCATTTCTGTTGTACGTTGAGATTGTCACTTAAATAGTTTATTGTCAAACACTCGCTGCCCGCGTTTATTACCACGATACGTGGAAGCAGGACGCCGCCTGTCGCACTTTCGTGTCTTAATAGGAGGCATAGTAACTAACCACCGTCGTGTGCGGCGAAGGCTGGGTGTTTGACATTAGTGTAGCTACATTTTGGAAGTATAAATAGCAACTGACAATTTATTAGTATTCGTTGATAACATTCATTGCGATTTGTAAATTCAAAAAGGAAAGAAAAAAAAGTAGTGCAATCTTAGCGCCTAGCAGCAATAGAATAGATTCCAAATTGTTATTTTAAAAGCAACAGGGTTATTTAACCTAAAAATGAGATTTAAACAGCACACAGTTCAATTACATATAAAGCAATTTCTCCAAACGAAAAACTTACATTACAGTTGCCTCATTTGAGTAAAAACACTAACATAGCGGCCGCATTAAAGTAAGAAAGAAACGATAATATCAGTCGAAGTAATAGGAAGCATATTATTCGGGATGCACCAAGAACTTGTTTAGTTCAGGGCGGGATAGTTTTCATTCGAATATTATACAATATTCCTTTAAAACCTATACGTAGCTGCTCCTCAGATATGGTATTCAAAGATATGCTGATGATTTCGCCGTTTATTTATTTTTTATAACTGGAAATCGACGAAGATAACTTGAAAGCTGTAGAAAACCATGTGACGAATTGTTATTGATATAATTTCTTATCAAAACATTAAAAATTACCATCAAAAGTTTAAAAAGATGTTTCAATAATGGTATGAAATAAGTATACCAAACATAAAATTATATTAAAAAAAATAATACTTAGGCTGACTTGAGGACTATAATTATTCTTTAATTTTCTTCTTTATGACTACACCTTAATATTAACAGCTACACAAAAAGTAAAAAAAAAAATACCAATTAATTTGTTATATCGTTACAAATTAACAACAACTGTATACCGTATTCATCTATTTCGTTTGTGGCGCAAAATACATTATTATTGTGCAAATGAATTTGCTGTCTTTCCATAGGGTAGGTTAAGTCCTATATTTCGCGAGAGCCTCCTTAATTTAAAAATTTATCTTAAGAATTATTTGACGATTAAAAATTACGTCTATTCGATGTGTTGTTCACAAAGGTAGAGAAGGAAGACAGCTTAGGTTGCGTTGTCTTAAAGTGACGTCAGACACGATCATGCCTATTCTTCGAGAGCTGTGGCGTACAAACTTGTATTCCATCACACATCGAAATCTCAAGTATTGCTTGTCCGTACATATTTACTCTTCGTATCTCTCATTTGGTGAATACTATTTTAATTTTTATCAGACATAGCGCGTTTCATGCATAACTTGACGTCACTCGAACTCGAAAATAATTTTCCCACTCGCACTATTCAAAATCTTACTGCCAAATTTTATAATATACTAACTGCCAAAGTTTATTATATAAAAGCTTAAACATTAAGGTCATTGCAATATAACGGATGCGTTTGGAGTGTGGTCTACATAGATTCGTAATATTATTATGTAGGCGACAACAATAATAGGCTAGTTGAAGCGGCCGTAATAATGCTACGTCGTTTTGGTCAGATCATTTATACGTATAAATGCTAGAGTAATGTAATGATATCATATAACGGCCACTTGATTGAAGCTAATGGAGAATACAAGTGATGACGATAGTTTGAATATAATATAGTAGATGAGAAAGTATGATTGGAAGATCTTATTAATGGGCCGGCTTTTGCCTCCGATAAATCATTTACAGGCTATAAGAAGAGTTTTTAACTAACTATTAAGATTGGAGAAAAAATCTATCATAAACGTACTAATCCATGGACGCTTCATAATAATTGTCCTGATGTCTGGTTGCATATGTTTACATTACCGTGATACCTTTACGCAATACATTATTTATTTATTTACGTTTAGATAAACTGACGTGATTTAGAGATAATGCAACAGCTACATATATGTAGTAACACCTAAATGTAATATTAATTTTTCGATTATCAATAAATCCTACATAAATGAAGATATGGTTCACACATTGATCCTCGAGACGATGGGAGTTATTGCGAAAACATCATCGGTAGTTGTTTATGTAGCACCGGACACAAATAAATGAAACTCGAACATCGAATATTGTCGAATTTTAAATATACCTACATAATTATAACATCTAAGAATAGCCCTTGCGCCTTGTCCAAATCACAATGTTGAGTGGAACGCCGAACGGGCACCGACAGCCAAGCAACAGGACAAACTGGATTGTTTCCATAGTCGGTTTCCAAGTGCTTATAATTCCGCGCACTAGCACTTACAAGCATGAGGATGAGTGATAACTTAATGGGTCGCGTCGGGAGCCGTGGGAGGGGTGGGGGGGAGGGGGGGGGGGGGTCAATGTCCTGAGCGCGGATCAGCTGTGCTGCTTAGTACCGCCGATATCACTGTGACTGGGGGTCGCACTGTAGCAGTCTCACGATTGAGGGGTCGCTCTTGGCGCCCTCTATGAACTCCTCGAGCGACAGCTTCCCGTCCTTGTTCCTGTCCATCTGGCGGAATATCTTGTCCGTCCGCTTCTCAGGAGTCGACTCGTCCTCCGGCATCTTCATCACGGAACCGACCATCTTGTAAATGGCCTGAAACACGGACGATGTGATACGTCAGACGTTGGATACGGTTTTGTGCACACGAGTATAGGCTGTCCCTTGCACGCGGTAGACAGGTGATAGAGATAGAGAGCAGAGACATGGCTGGTACTAATTTTTCCAACGAACCTTCGATGGCCAGTCCCTAGGCGGTGCACAAATTTTAGGTGATTGCTATTTGCATCGACCACATTAAATTGAAACCGGTGTTGTGAAATAAGACATATTTAACGGAATTAAGTGAGTTTTCTATTTCTAATATTTATAAGGCTTAACAAACATCCACGGTAAGGAGGAAGGCCTTTAAATGAACTTACAGTATAATACGACAATGCTATGAGAGATTATTTTTAGGCAGCGTTATTAGTGCCAATAGCCAGTTACCATGTTTAAGTACGGAATACGACGAGACGAATGAGAAAAATCTTAAAAAGTTTAAATCCGTAGTCCCTGTCTATCCTTTTGGGCAGCAGAAGTGAGCATTTATAAATGTGAGCCAAAGATTCAATGTTTTGTTCGAAATGCTTCTCCTCTACTCTACCGACTTTTATAAACATGCTGTGCATGCAAAAATATGAATATTAATAACATGTTTAGTAGTTGCTATTTGAACCAGTAATTTTAGATCGCAAGTAGACGACCGCAACACAATCGCGTAATGAATTCATACATGTAATAATAACAATGCATAAATGAACTTTGTACTAGATTCGCGTGATTACGTTAAACAAACGGACGCAACGACTTCGAATAAGACGTCAAGACAATACATACATAGTACGCCTCGATACCGCAATCGTTATACGGGTATATTGCATGGGGAGAACGACATATTGTTCTAGACGTCTGCTTCGCCTATTAAAATCTGACGAAACAAAAGCAAAACATCTTTGTCTGAATGCGAGGGACATCCACAACGAAAGGATTAAAACGAGTTCTGCAACCGCTTTATTGGATATAAACGTATAACATATGTACGTCGCAAGATGGCAGATGAATAAAAATGTAATTGGCAGAATTGAGTCCAATAAAAGTCCCGCCGTTGGGGACTTATGCCCTGCAAAATTTCACCGAACCCCATTCGATATTCATGAAACGAAATTGTTGCGTAATAGATGTTTACGCTATCGACCTTTTACAGTAGATGAATAAAATATATATAAAATATAGTATAACATAATTATGTCTATTTACCATCCGTACTCGGCCAATACTTTCACGACAGATGGTTTCTTTATTTTAATTAAAAACATCTATCATGTTCGCATCGTAAGCTCTTGCAAAGTCCATCGGAGTTCGTTTTTTATTACTTTTTCCAATTCAATTTATGAAAGCAAAGGTTTTATAGATATTGGACGTAAGAGGATTACAATACGATTCACAGAGTGCACAATTATTGATCTTCGGCGTCGCGTTTCGCTGCTGGCGTGTAATTGTATACATTCGAGATAAATGCTATATTTCTAACATTCAATAAAATATACACAATTCAATACAGTATTCGATGCATTTTCTGTTTGTGATGCGGCTGTGAACACAATCAATTGTGCAAAAAAATATCATCGACTCACAGAGTAACTGCATTGCAGATCATGCTCAAAACAAAGTAGCGATGAATCCGCCAGTCTCCCGGCAGTGGCACTTTCTAACATTAAAATAAATGCTTGTATAATACGACTCACATATCAGTCTGTACAAGTCGAATATTAGCCATAAAATTATTCTGACTGAAATGATATATACTGATACAACATGATTTTCATTGATACAATTTTCACTGGAAATGGACAACATCAGGTGCACAGTATTAATACAATTGAATAGTACGTCCCCCTACGTCGAATAGACGAAGTTACGATGTGCACTAGAATCCGTTTATTATGACATCGAAAGGAATTGAAAAACACGTCATAATAAGCGGACGTCATACAAACCGTTTTCTGAAAAAAAAAAAAAACTTTTTATGTAAAAATGTACTTAAGTATTTTAATACAGAAATATAGTATGTATACATACATATTAAATCAAAATAACAATTGCACGTAATGCAGTACATACAAATTTTTTAATGTAGGTAATCTGTAATATTTGACTGCTTTTGTTTTTTCATTTTATTGTAAAAAACACAATGCGTGACCTTTATTAAGTCCAATTACTCACTGAGATTCAAAACAAAAACGAGCCACGTGCCGAACGTCGTCAGGAATTAACGAACATTACCGAAAGTGTAAAGAACCATGTCGGTCATTCTAACCGGACATAATTTATTAAAAATGGGTCATAATAAGCGACATGTCACTGTAAGAGAATTCATTATATCCGACTTTTTTATAAAGAATTTTATATGTAAACCAAACTTCGTAGTGTAATTAAGTCATATTAAACGGTTGGTCAATATAGGCGGAGTCATAATAAGCGGATTCTACTGTATATCAATGTAACATGGTAATTGTTAGCAAAATCAAATCGGGATTCTTAGAGTTGTGTGTGTGTCCCAATGTGAATAAAAATATACTGACTAAAGATAAATGATACAAATTAAACGTTTGGAAAAGCATTAAAAAATAACACTTTAAAAATGGAATTTTTCCTCTTGGTGATCGCCCTAAAATGAGTCTATGGATTTTTAAAGCTAAAGAGTTACTACTTAGTAAGCTAAGATTTACTATCTTTAGCTTCCAAATTCCATAGACTCATTACTTTAATGCTGTTTAGCTTGATGGGATATTAATTCCGCTAAACTAATCGAATTCCCCCATAAAACTTTAATTATTATAACAGGCTTGGCTTCGTTTCAGTTTTTACGTAATTGCTTATTATATAAACGATCAATAGCTGCTATACGGAGTAGCGTTATCAGCCGCAGCATAACGAGGAACTAGGTAAATATATGTACGTGTATCGTGTTCAGTGTACGCAGTATAATACGAGACGTAAGTGAAATTGTAAGTAATTTTGTTACGAGTGCATATGACAGCTTTGCCCAATTCAAAAATATAAAGAGTTACGATAGATGAAAGATGAGTTAATAATGAAAAATATTTAAAATAACACTACAAATATTTCGCTAAATTGAAATGAGACAGAAATCATAGCTATACAGAAATAAATGCAATGTTTCAAAATCGGTTTACATTTATGTCAAGTGTTTTTGAAAAGAAAATACAGCCGAGGCAAGCGGTTATCATTGTTATAGTGATTATTTATAATGAAGGTAATGCAGTAACTTGAAGACCACAATGCTGTCGTCAGTAAACGAGCGACTCGGGTGACAAAGGCACCTTTGAGTAATTCTACTCTGCGGCTTTAGACGTCGCCCGTGATTCATTTTTCTATTATATTTAGTGTCGTCTTGGCATTGATTATTGCAACGTCTCGTTTCGTGCGCCTTAATTATCTTAATTGGATGATGTTTTCTATTTAAGTTCAGGGGACGATAAATAGCTCTAAACGTTTCTTTACTTTTTTAGCAATGATCAGCACTACCTACTGAGCAAATTTACATAGTATTTTAATATTTGAAAGAGAGGTGTTTCTCTATTTTTATAAGTCTGTTGACTTTAATTTAGTACAAACTGTAGTTTGTACTAAATTCACATCATCATCACGCTATGGGGTCTGCACACATGTGAATAAGTATATTGTAAGGGGTTTTGGCTATATTTTTTATGACCGGCCACCTGCCTGACGTCAACCCTTCTCGGGAAAACAAAGACCCAGACCCGGAACAATTATCTGTGGGTCACTTGGACAAATACTTGTTCCGCGTGGGAATCGAACCCACGACCCCCGACGCCGAAGCTATAATAGCTTCAATCAATATCAATATCAGCCTATTGCCGTCCACGTAAACGTAAGCCTCCCCCAAAGTGCGTCAACTATCCCGGTCCTGGGCAGCCCGCATCTATCCGCTGCCCGCCACCTTTCTTAAGTCGTCAGTCCATCGTGCTGCAGGCCGTCCCACACTTCGTCACACACATAATAGCTTAGCAACATATTGAATTCACATTTAAGAAAAATTAAAACAACCATATGACTATGACGACATTTGTTCCAGTCCTCGTATGGGGCGCGTTTGGATTCGTTTAGTAATTCTCTCCGTTCACCGGAAGGTTATGACTGGTACAGTATACCATTGGTAAGGCCACGCAACAGTTCTTTGTTGCACGAACGGGGAGGTTCGACCGCGGCAGTACCACGATCTCACAGAAAACCGGCGTGAAGTGGAAGTTTTATACTTCTGCGTTTCGTCTGGTGAGTGAGGTAACCTGGGCCCTACTTCATTGAAGCTGTCAACGCATCTGCTACCCTACGAGTGTAGCAAAAGTCCATGGGCTTATCACTTAACATCAGGTGAACCGGCAGCTCGCTTGCCATCTTCTAACATAAGAAAGAGAACGGATTACTCTGGCCTTTACATTGAATCCGTACTACGTTCTCTCTGAGCATGGTGCCGCTGCAGAAATATCTCAACTCCGGTGACATGACTTGTCATGGCGTGGTTTGGTGAACTCCTTGTTTTGGGTCAACTGAGGTTGATGAAGGAGTCCTATGGCCGACAAGGGAACGAAACACGACACGCGAGTTAAGACGATAGATGCAAGTCGTTGATAGAAGTAGTTTGTTCCTTAAGGGATTTTTTCCTATGGTTAAGGTTAAGGTTAATTCGACTTCCTGAGGGTTCGGTTGGCCAAAGAGTTTATGGCTGTAGCTCTTTGTTAACGTAGGTGGTGGGCGATGACGTGGTTACGGTGGCCCCGAGTAATGTAACTTGGTTGTAATCTTTCCGGCTTTAATCTAGATGTCGACCACATTTACCGATTACAGTGAATGGAGGGTAGATTTTACATTTACGAAAACATTCAAAGCAAAAAAATGTGTGTTTATTTATGTACGCACGTAAGAATTTATACTTCTTTAGCGTAACAAAAGAAAAATAACTAAAAATTTTATCCCCTGCACCAGTAGTCTTTGTTTGTGAAAAAAACATTAATAATGTAATTGATAACGTTATCGTTAAATAACTTGGAATTATAGATAAATGTCAAAAAGGTGTCATTGTTTGCCAATGTATAATACCGTGAAATTGGTTGAAGTTTAAGTCGCTTTGGATTAGTACAGTAAATTTAATCAGTACAGATTCTATTCTCATTTTTTCCAAACGCGCCAAAAGAAGTATTAATTTCGTAGGCGGGCGGTATAAGAACCGTTAGCTATGTATAGAAACATGGCAATGACAAGTTATCAGCGAAAGCAAGCTAAATTTCCAAATTATAATTCCATTCCTCCATCGTTACGAGGTCTCGCCAGCGTAAAAACGTGGTAAGCGATGCCGCAGCAGAGCTTCCGCGCCCAACCACCTGGGCCTGGCGGAAAACTGCAGCGCCGTGTGTACTCACAGTGACGATCTCCAGCATCTCCTGTCGCGAAATGTACCCGTTGCCGTCCAGGTCGTACATGGAGAAGGCCCACTTGAGCTTCTGCTCCAGCTTGCCGCGCGACGTGACGCTCAGCGCGCACAGGAACTCCCGGAAGTCTATGGTCCCGTCGCCGTTGGCGTCGAAGGTCCGGAACACGTGCTCAGCGAACTGAGAAAGTCGGCACAAGTTAACGGCGGCCGCGGGCCGCTCTTAACACGCTTGTCGCGTTGGAGCGACGCCACATAAACCGTTATGATTCATTAGGTATAACGTGATGCGGTCCGATCAAGTGGAACTTGTAACCGAGCCTGTTTCCAATGCCCCCAACAATGCCGACGACATTGTGGTGTGGAAGCAGCTAGTCGTCGATTCTCTCAATTTTTTTCAGGACGGACAACGACCTCCAGTAACGAAGACCACGAAGAAGAAGAATGTATAATGCCAGTCAAAAAGCATCGATGACGATATTTCATGAAAATCTATAACATTGTTCAACACCTGCCATTGGCTGATGATCTCGGTGAGAGCGCATACAGTCAGACAAGTGGTTCGATTGAGTTCAAGCTGATAGAACCCAGACTGGATGTCGTTTAAATTACAATTATACAAATACACATGCGAACAAATTTACAATTAATCTTAATAAAAGTATGATAAAAGAAGAAAGGCTGAATATGAATGAGACTAAATGTCGAGTCATCACAGGATTTCCTCTTATGGCCAATTGAAAAAGATTGCTATGTGAAAGAGACCACAACTCAATGAGCTGAAACATTTTTGTAGCAACCATCGAATTATCTTTTGTAGTGAAGAAAATATACAAAACGTTATGTTCTCTTGGGAATATTAATCCCATTATGTCTGCGTCGTATTTCAAACTACTTATGGTTGGACGTAAAAAGATTATTAAAAAAAAAAAAAAACGTTCCTCGTGTCCTTTCGGATTGAAACACGCGAAATATCTAGACCGGGAATATAGGTACGGACATAGACGTAGGTAATTAGAATGTTAGAAAATAAGATCTTACCTTACTGGCATCCCCGTAGGGAAAGAAGTTGCCATATATTTTTTTAAATTCTTCAACGGATAAATGCCCGCTGGGACAATCTTTCAAGAAACCCTTGTACCACTCCTGTATTTCTGCATCTAAAGGAACAGTCGTTTTGTTATCGCGTCTCCCATTGATAATTATTTAAAAACAATGAAAATTATTTACTATACAGCATAGCGTTACAACTGCGACAAGAAATGAACACACTTCTAACGTTACAAAAAAAATATAAACGTTAAAATATCCATAATTAAAAACAGATTCAAATAAACTAAATGTTTTATCTCTTTAAATTCATTCAAAACATTCATATATTTTATGAACTTTACAAATAATCTTTAGGATAAGTTTTGTTGGGTATTCTAAAATTATATGTTTTGAAAAATTTACAACTTGGCAAATACTGACATTCAAAGAAAATTAATAACGAAAAGTTAATAAAGAAACTTAGAACTATTACAGGTTGTTCTCTTTATGTGTGTTGATTAATGGTCGCGTTAGTAGCACCACGTTGTGTACAATAGCACAAGAGAATACTTGAGAATTGATATAAAAAAGAACATAGTGGGTGTTAGATATAAGAGTATACAAGTGCCGTTCAATATTGGCATACCTGAAAATTCAGTGTTCTGTTTCAAATCCTCCAAGACCTCAGGCTTTAGTTTGCTGTTCTGCTTCCCCATTTTAATTATTTTCTTATTAAGCTTGTGATGTCGTGTCGATACGCCTACGTCGATCTTGCAACTTAATTAGTTTTTCAAGCTTTTTGCCCTACAAACATTAAAGCCTAACCATAAGGAGATCTATGAGAGGTTACGCGCTACAAAGGTGTTAAATAAAAACCAAACAAAAATAAAATGTCATTGCTTTAAAGAATATTGTAAATGCAAAAATAAAAAAAATGCTTATTACATAAATTCGTAATATAAAGGTAAACAATAAATGTATCACTATTGCACGGGTCGTCTCAAAGAGAAAACATGGATATCTTATAATACTAGTATATAGGTTTTATAAAATTATAAAAGCAGAAGCAAATACTTTTTATACACTCTCACAGTTTTGTCAAGAAAGATTAAATGAACTCTCAGAGTAAGTTTCGTTCTAATATACAACAGCATGTGTATGGGATACTCGGATTTCGACATGGTTATTTCTTACTAAGTATATCGTCTAAATTATATTTTAAAACAACAAGTAGTGAAATACACAAGGGCGCCGTAAATTCTCTGAAGTGTACAAAAGCAAAGTTTTAATAGCTGGTCTCTTTTAAAAACTTCTTATCCAACTAGAGACGGTCGTAGTTCCCACAAAAGTTTCTTGAAACGTGGCGGAGATACTGAAACCAAAGATATAACATTGATAGATTATAAAATTGATAAAGGGATTTTGTTTTTGGATATTTCCTTGAGGAGTAAATACATATTGTTTTAAGTTAACACCCACAATTTTAAATTACCAATACAGTGTAAACTCCATGTAACGTCACACGATTTAACGACAAACTCCCTTAAGCGTATCGACGCTCACTTAGCTTTGGTTGATGGAGGATTGTTGGAGGAGGCGATAGTCCGGGGCCACCTGCCGGCCTTAGAAGAGTTGAGGGGTTGCAGACTAAAGTTGCTCTCACTCGCTATCGCCGAGTGGGAGCAGAGGCTGGAGCAATCCCAGTGCCGGCCTAAGAACCATAGAGGCCATACGTCCGGTACTTAGTCGGTGGCTGGACAGGCGTCACGCCACCCTCACCTACCTACTGGGCGACGCAGGTTCTCTCGGGACATGGCTGTTTTGAGAGGTACCTGTGCCGCTTGGCGGGGAGGGAGCCAAGAGGCCATCACCACGACGTATGTGCCGAGGAAACTGCCCAACATGCACTGGAGGAGTTGCCAGCCTGGCGGGAGAGCGCCGGAAGGAGGCCGCGGAGAGGGAAAGGGAGGCACCTGCCACGCTTGAAATCCGCCGGCAGAGACTAGGGCGCAGGAGGCTGGTCTACGCGAGCAACCTTCCCCCCTGGTAGCAAGCCCCGGGGCGGCAGATGTGGGACTAACTGCTGCCTCACGGAGGGCTTGAGAGGGGTGCCGTGTTCATTGCACCGACACGGCACCATTTGGCTGGACCAGGTGTCCGCAACACCCGGGGAGAGGAGGCCTGAGAAGGCCACAGTCGCGCCGGGGTTCGCGGAAGATTGCGTTATCGTGTTCCCGTGTCCACGGCAAAGCGATAGCGCAGGTGCAACGTAGGTTTTTAGTGGGTACGTGTAACTCCCACATACCCCTGCTGCCTACCCACAAGGCGGCGGGGGATCCATACAGGATTTTTCCCACGTAAAAAAACGTCTTCCATACAATGATACACTTTATATAACACTAGCTGTTAACCGCGGCTTCGCCCGCGTGATCAAAAAATATTTATAATTAGTTTTTTATTATACACCAGAATATCTCTCAGATGGCTGAATATTTTCCTACTTAGTTGACACTAATCATTACCTATATTTTGGACAATTCACACAATATCTTTATCAATTATAGCCTATGTGTTATTCTGATTTACAAGCTATTTTATTATGAAGTTTCATTAAAACCTATTCAGTAGTTTTTGCGTGAAAGAGTAACAAACATCCATCCATACATACAAACTTTCGCATTTATAATAATAGTAAGGACTACTAGCTGACCCGACAAACATTGTTTTGCCATATAAATTATTTGTAGGGTACAAAAAAACGTTTGGGGTGGATCACCCTTAACATTGAGGGGGATGAAAAATAGATGTTGTCCGAATCTCCACCCTGGCCGTTATGCACACAAAATTTCACGAAAATCGGTCGAGCCGTTTCGTAGGAGTTCAATTACAAACACCGTGACACGAGAATTTTATATATTAGATTACATCTACTCTCTATAAAGACAGCTATTAAAAAGTACCTTTGAAGTTGTCAAAATTTTTAAAAACTGTGCAACTGTGAATGTTCTTTTGTAGCTTTACTCGTTTTATCCTAGCCCATAATAAACTCGACTGTCGGCCTCATGCATACCGAACTTTCTAAGAAATTCTCCGCCGAGCATTAAAGAAGATCTGGGAGCAGCGAAATTATTGGAAAATACTTCCTTTATCACCAAGACACCACAATATCGCAAGATATGAATAAAATAAGCAATAACATACAACAAAATTACTGGTGCAGCAAAAGACGTCAGACAAAAATAACAGACTATACGCAATAGAACGAAAACTCTCTATAATGCCATAAAATGCACAGTCCCTTCTGTCACGTTACATGGGAGTTTACACTGTATTTTTCACCTAGCGCCACATTGATACTTAAATCAAATAAAAATCAATATAACACTAATGTTATAAGACATTAAACATTTAAATATTTTTTTTTATGCGAAAGTTGTCAAACCTGCAGACGGTTCACCGGATGTTAAGTGAATACCGCCGCCCATGGACATCTGCCACACCGACAGATTACAGATGCGTTGACAACCTTTTGAAAATTGGGCTCCGGCTACCTCACTCGGCTACCACCAGACGAAACGCGAAAGTATTTTTCAAATATATTAGCCAGTTATTAGTTATTATAAATAGCCAGTTATTCATATTTTTATTTAAATTATTTGCCTGCATTGTACCTATTTATTAAAATATGATTTTAAAAAGTCAGTGTTGAAAATAATTTAGTCACAAATTAATTCTTAAAAAAAAAGCAAGCAAAAATACAGGCTGCATGAATAGATTATTCGCCCGCTTTGTTCGTTTGTCAAAGTGAATCTCGACTTCTGTTGTTAACCTAAGGGACGAGTGGCCGTTGCGTTGTTATCATTACCGTTGGGACATCTTTTGTTGCTTACTAATGATAAAACTCGAGAGACTAGATCATTGAGTAAGGAGAGATTATTATGCGATCCAGAACTCGTTATATTTTGAGGGGCATGTTAGACGTGTAGTGACGACTATCCCTTTACCTGGGTGGAATTTATAAGTCGCCTCTGTAGAATGCACCACGCCGTTCGGGACCGCACTGCAAAAGGTAACGATCGCCCACTTAGTTACCCGTCTGTAGCGTCACTTTTAAATAAGGCTGAAGTGTTTTGTCGCTCGCTGAATGAGTTATACACAAATTACGCAACTAACAATCGCTGTTTATATGGGACATTCGACAAATTCGCAGCAATGGATTCACGGCTTGGTGTACAAACAATTCGCATCGCTTGGCAGCAGCATGTTTCAATTCGCAAATCATTCGGGACCGGTGTCCTTTAACCGTCGAAAACAAAGGCGTTAGTTACCTTATAAGCTGTGTAGCGGATCATTAAATCCGACACCGCAGTCGGGACACACAGGCGTTTATCTTGTTAGCGAATGTGGCGTAGCTGGGAACAAAGTGCGATATATATGTATGTACGTACATTATATGAGATACGGGCGGGCACTTTACGTCGCTCGCTCGATGAAATTAGCTTCAAGCAGACTTTTGTTACGGCAAGCAAAAGAGCAGCCTTAACTCGGATTAGCGGGTGAAAGAATATGAATTACGTCGTCTTATTGTTTGTCAAAATTTACATCCACAGTAATTTTGTACATCATCGCAGAGTTTCAACCTTACGCTTGGGTCGTACAACCTTTCTCATTGAAAGACATACCATTGAAAAACCAGATAAACCACATATAGGCTTATTTGAATATCTGTTAAATGACAAATATAAATCAAGAGAAAAATTAAATAAAATCGGATTTGATGGTAAGTGTTCACCGATGTCCACGGACTGTCGTAACCAGTGGAGCAACTGACGAGTTGCCGGCCTTTCAGGAAAGAAGATTCTTTCCTTGCAGTTCCCTTAGTCGTATCAGTCAAGAAATACCAATGGCGACAAGTGACAACACAACTCGGTTATGAGTGGCAGAAAATTATGCGAAAAACTCACAATAATGTATTGCCAACCATGTAGGTAGTAGCGATGGTGTTTGGCAGTATGACGATATATGTATCCGAACAACTCCTCAAAGCGCTCCCCGCGATAATGCGATAAAATATGTAGAGTTGAAACATCTCTTCGCAAGGACAAAGACTCGAGACGCTTGGAAAGGCCCTGGTCGTCAAGGACTCGAGCAACATTACGTTGGATGCGGTGAAATGCCTTCCATTGGCTGATATGGATAAAATAAATAAAACTTAAAATAAATTGATTTTAATAAAAATAAGTTAATTAACTACACTTTAAATATACTGAAATGAATAAACAGATTTAAATAAAAAATATAGGGAGTCTAAAGCAAGCTTTTAGTTTGGGGGAAAATGTAAACATGGCCTGCATTTATTAACGCTTGATGCGATTACGGTCGACCTAGCACGCTTTCAACCTTTATTTTATTAACACCACGGGCTTTTGAATAGGTAAATGATTTTTGAAAAAAAGTTGCTCTCAATATAAGTTCAATAGGATCAAGTTTTATTTAAGTGCATGGTTAACTTGTCATTTTGTTTGTAATCAGTATTAATAAGTCTTTAAATTAAGCATATGGTGCATGCCATCAATTTAAGGAATTTGCGTTGAAAAAGTAAGTAAAAATGTGGCCAATAAAAATGAGTAAAACTTTTTGAAATGGATCGTCAATTAATAAAAAACAGGAAAACTTTGCAATATACCTTACCTCAACCGTGTCGAGCGCAAACAAA